CTTCGTCAAAATAAATCGTATCGTTGCCGACACTAGTCAGAAGATGCGTCAATTGTGCAGTCGCTGGTTACGAATGTTGTCTCCATGATGATGATTTCCCATAGTGTTGTCTCTACTGCATTCGTGCCGTTGATTCCACACAAGTCCGACGATCCTCGTTCTCCTGTCAATTTTCTGCTTGCAGCTATTACCAAGTAGGTAACACTCTTGCAGATTTCTGACTCCGCAGATGCTTTTCACCACAACATCGTGACCAAATGGAGGAATCCGAATTTGGTTGTCCATATGATGTCAGAGGTGTCGAAAGCGGCTGATTTTTGGTTCTCCGCATCATTCTCCTTTCGTGCAGAAGTCGTGCTCCATCTCGTCCGTTGAAGTAGAAGTCGATCCGACGGTCCAAACTCCAAGCGATCTGAAGATCTTCCTGAGTTCAGCAGCTTTCGGTGCCCGGGTTGACTAGTTTCCTGCAGCAATTCTCGGTCGTCGATGTTGGCTGTCGAACAATCGGACGCTCCGAAGAATTTCGCGGCCTGCGAGCAGGGCTTACGCTAGAAGGGTAGCTACCCTAAATGCCAAGAAATTAAGAGTTTTTCAAGCCCCGAACCCGGATTTTAACAGGTCGGGATTTTCCGAAACTTTGAATGTTTCCGACTGTATTCTCCTTGAAATCCTGATCCATTCCGTGTACTATTTTCATGAATCCTGATGAACTAGTCTCGTAGCATAGAGCTTTGTTAGGAGAACTTCCATTCCACTGCGTGGTGGCACGTCCTGAATCACAAAAGGTATTTGGACGATTTCAGGACTTCAGCCAATGAGCCTAGTCATGTTCTCTGCACACATCATGGGAGATGACTGACACGACGTTTGGCAGGGTTGCTATGTCGAGAACTTGGAAGGATCCTGGGTGAGATTTCCTTGGGATCTGGAAAATTCTGGGTACTTCTGGACCCCATCTCGGGACCCTCCGAAACTCCCTAGGGCCTAGCGTAAGCCCTGTCTGCGAGGTCCCATTCCCATTCGCGCTGAAACGCGAACTCGCTCAGAAGGTTTCGTTTTCGCCTCGGTCGATCTGAAGCGTCGAATCTCCATCGAACAGATGTCGTCGGTAGAAGCTCCGCAGATTTCAGCGCAACTCCAAGTGTCGTCGCAAACTGCGAACTTCTCCGAATGTCGCAGGGAGTGTTCCGCCGGAACTGACACGTTCGCGAGGTCGAGGCTGTTTGCCTCCGCGAAAAAATTGGCTCCGTCGATGCAGTCTATCGAACGGTTGGCGAGGCATCTCGCCTTCGAAGGGGACCCCAAGTGCAACTACGCGAGGTGAGTCGAAACTTAATATGAAAGTGCATTGTACTTACATGAAGTGAAGTTTCGACTCCATCCCCGGCGTGCTCCTAGGGGCCCAGCGGTTAAGCGTTGAGCTGAAACCTTGGCTCTGATTACCAAGTGTCACATGATCGAATGAGGTTTGGCTCAATCTTCCACTATCCATGAGTACAAGGTGCTTTTATACTTCCAGAATACATCAGGTAACCAGGTTTATCCTATCCAAAGGGAATAGACCCTTCTAGAAATAGAATCACCCTGCGTATAGCCACGCGAGGCTATTGGCTTTAAGGGATTACGGCAGGATTACGCTAGATATAGCGCGCCAGTATATCCCGAGCCTGATCGGTGATATAATTATAATAACGGGATAAACCAAAGGATGATGGAAAAGGAGGAATAGGAAACCAAATAAGATGAGATAAAGACCAAATGAATCAAGATAAAAAGTGGGATGAAATAGAAAGGAAATATGAAAAGGGGAAAATGGTGTAACGGGGTCGTGCTCTCACATCAGTCCAGCTGTGAGGCTGAGATCTACGCCGGTGCCATGGCGGCACAGGAGCTCCGCTGGCTTACCTTCTTGCTCACAGACTTAGGTGAGTGGCCTAGCTCTGCCCCAGTCCTGTACGCTGACAACAGGGCCATGATCCTCCTGTGTCAGGAGCCTCGACTTGAGGGCAAAGCGAAGCATATCCAGCTGCGGTACTTCCTCCTGCGCGAGCTACAGCAGCGTCGCCAGGCCCGTGTAGTTCACTTGGCCTCCGGTGCCAACACAGCTGATATCTTTACTAAGGCGCTTGCGCCTAAAGATCATCAGCGGCACTGTGTACAGCTTGGTCTTGTTCCTGTAGCTGCTCATTTGCTAGGGCCATGATTATGTACTCTCTACTATATATCCCTGTCTGACTGGCCTTGTGGCCTTACCTCCAGTGGCTGGACTAGTAGTGCCGCCCTAGCTTTCTTTTGTCTTGTTTGTACTCTTGCTGACTAGTCTCCGGACCCCTGCCTCATTGATTGGACTAGTAGTGCCGCCCTGAGCTGCCTGCTTCTTGCTTAGCACCACCCCTTATCTAGCCGAGGGGGTGTGTCAACTTATACATATTATCTATGTAGACGTTATAGGCTAGACTAGGTGTGTGCTTCCAGTGAGTACAACCAACTAGTATTTGTTCTGTGTTTCTCTTCCTAGTCTATTATTCGTTCTTACTTTAACACCCCCCCCCCATCCCACCCCCCCCTCAACCCTGAACCCTCCGTCTTGCTACGGTTTTCCGCGTGGATCAGTCCATTCGAACCCAGTATCTCGGTGGGAGGAGAGAAAAATCGCTCTAAGGATAGAAGCATAAGCGCAGACCGAAAGCGCAAGGGCCGGGGAAAGTTTTTAAGGTTTTTATTATGGTCGTAACCGCAAGGGCCGGGGAAAGCCCCCCCGGGACATAGGACTGGAGCGTCTTATCGCACCCGTTGAAAGGTCCCGCAAGCCGGTCCACGTCAGCAGCGGAAGCAGGAGCGGAGGATTCTGGCGCCGCTTGCGCGGCTGCCACGGCTGCGTCGGACCCTTCCGCGGACATTGTGGGCTGGCGGGAATTCGCATAAATTCGTTATAAGAGGAAGTAGGGAAAGCAGCTGAAATCTAGGGCCTCGTGAGTGGTTTTTGGGTTGCGTAGCAACCCTTTACAATCGGTCGGTGGACCGATTTCGGACGACTTTGTTTGGTCAGCCTAATAACCCGCACAAAAAAAAAAAAATCCAGGTTTAATGCGTCGCTCACTCTAAAGATACTGGTTTTTCCATCTAAATTTGGTTGTCTAAAATCTGAATGTTTACGTTCTCCTATAGGGAATCTCTACATATCCGTTTGTTTGTTGATTCCTTTTACTGTAACTCAGAAACTTAGCGTCTCAAAAGACCTTTCTAGCTTGCATAAAATCTAGTTTTTTCGCAATTATTATGTGGTCGATAATGGAGACGACATAATAATTGAGCAACATAGAGTTTTGCAACGATTTTCTAAGTTTTCTATGAATGATGAGAGAGGCTCGAATCATTCGCCGTCGACAATTACGGTGGAGAATGACTAAACCACAACATCACCTCACCATCACAATTTTCAAAGCATGTACACAGAACGCAACTTACCAACACACACACATATAACGGCTCGGCTCGAGTCGACAACAATACAATACAACAAAACGATCGCGAATGGAGTAAAACGAAAGCATCAATGCGTTCGTGCCACATTAGAGATTGACATGCACGTTATGGGAAAAAACTCCCAATCGGGCAATGACAATCGCACATTGTATGATGCACTAGGCATAATCAGCACCGTTTCCCTGCACGCACGCACAATACACAACAATGTACAACACTTGCTAACAAAAAAAACAGTGCAATAGTGACTGCAAAGAAAGAAATGCATCAATGCTTTCGTGCTACAATAGAGATTGACATGCACGGAATGAGAAGCAATTCCCCAAACCGGCAACGACAATCGCAAATTGTGTGATGCACTAGGCATAGTCAGCATCCCTCCCCTGCAAGCACAACGCAACGCAATACCGTGCAAAACACAAGCCAACAATCTGGTACGCACGTTGTCAATAATGGTACCATGCAAACACACATATACAAGCAACGCGGCATAAAAATTTCGCAAAACAACAATGCAAATGCACGCAAGTCAAACACGAAGATATAATGGGTAGCCCGAAAACATTTCCAAAAGTCAACTTCAAATATCCATGAATCAATGCTTGGACTGGATTTGGAGGGAGAAGTCTTGGAACGTGATGACTTGAATTTCAACGGCTTGGAATGTTCTTGGAATGTGACAAACTTGAACGTGATAACGACTGGAGAGGATAACAAGAGGAGAAAATAAGAGGGAAGAGCTTGAGACAGTAGCAGCCAGAGAGAAACGAAAGCGATTAGGTGGGGAGAACGGGAACGGATGCGAAGGAAAAAACAGTACAGCAGAGACGAAGGCAAGAAAGACGGACAAGGAGAAGGGAGCAGCAAGTGCAAGAGAGAAGCAACCACTGAAATGAGAAGCAAACGCAGGGTAGAAACAAGTGTAGGGGAAAATCAAATACAGAAAGGAGAATAAGGAGCAAGGGAGAGCAGCACAGGGAGGGAGAGGGTCACACAGAGGGAAGAATGAATAGGCGGAGTAAGAATGGAGAGGGGAGACCAGAGGGTGGAAGAACGTAGAGGAAAAATGGTTAAAAAGAGCTGCGGGGGGAATGGAGGCGAGAAGACTGGAGCGGGAACGAATGGAGGGGAAGAACAGAGGCAAAAAAACAGGGGAAGAATGGATGGAGGAAGAACAAAACAACAGCGAGAGGGAGAGTAATGTATACCTGAGAATGGGCTGCACTTGGGCTTGTAAGAAAACAGATTGCGAAGGCAATAAAGCAGAGGGGGGATAAGGTAAGAAGAACGCAAGGGGTAAAGGAAAGAGGGGGGGGGGGGTGGGAGAGCGTTGGTGAGGAAGAATGGAAAGGAAACGGCAGAGGGGGGGGGAGCAGAGGGCGGGAGAATGGAGGATGGAAGGAGGAGGGGGGAATGGAGGGGGGAAGACCGAGGCAGGAAAAACGGCAATGAGGGAGACAATGAGAGAAAGAACGGAGGTGGAAAGACAAATGGAGGAAAGAGGGAGGGGGGACGGCAATGTTTGAGGAACGGAGGGGGGACCACAAAGGGGGGGAACAGAGGGGGGACGACAAAGGGGGAGGGATGGAGGGGGGACGGCAAAGGGGGAGGAACGGAGGGGAGATGGCAAAGGGGGAGGAAGGGAGGGGGGACAGCAAAGGGGGGGGAACGGAGGGGGACGACAAAGGGGGAGGGAAGGAGGGGGGACGACAAAGGGGGGGGAACGGAAGGGGGATGGCAAAGGGGGAGGAACGGAGGGGGGACGACAAAGGGGAGGGAAGGAGGGGGGACGACAGGGGAGGAACGGAGGGGGAACGACAAAGGGGGAGGGACGGATGGGGGACGGCAAAGGGGGAGGAACGGAGGGGAGATGGCGAAGGGGGAGGAAGGGAGGGGGGACAGCAAAGGGGGAGGAACGGAGGGGGGACGACAAAGGAGGAGGGAAGAAGGGGGGACGACAAAGGGGGGGAACGGAGGGGGGATGGCAAAGGGGGAGGAATGGAGGGGGGACGACAGGGGAGGAACGGAGGGGGGACGAGAAAGGGGGAGGGACGGATGGGGGACGGCAAAGGGGGAGGAAGGGAGGGGGGACAGCAAAGGGGGGGGAACGGAGGGGAGATGGCGAAGGGGGAGGAAGGGAGGGGGAACCGCAAAGGGGGGGGAACGGAGGGGGGACGACAAAGGGGGAGGGAAGGAGGGGGGACGACAAAGGGGGGGGAACGGAGGGGGACGACAAAGGGGGAGGGAAGGAGGGGGGACGACAGGGGAGGAACAGAGGGGGGACGACAAAGAGGGAGGGAAGGAGGGGGACGACAAAGGGGGGGAACGGAGGGGGGACAGCAAAGGGGGAGGAACGGAGGGGGGACGACAAAAGGGGGGAACGGAGGGCGGACGACAAAGGGGGAGGGACGGAGAGGGGACGGCAAAGGGGGGGGAACGGAGGGGAGATGGCGAAGGGGGAGGAAGGGAGGGGGAACAGCAAAGGGGGGGGAATGGAGGGTGGACGAAAAAGGGGGAGGGACGGAGGGGGGACGACAAAGGGGGGGGGACGGAGGGGAGATGGCGAAGGGGGAGGAAGGGAGGGGGGCCGCAAAGGGGTGGGACGGAGGGGGGACGACAAAAGGGGGGGGGACGGAGGGGGATGGCAAAGGGGGAGGAACGGAGGGGGACGACAAAGGGGAGGGAAGGAGGGGGGACGACAGGGGAGGAACGGAGGGGGGACGACAAAGGGGGAGGGACGGATGGGGGACGGCAAAGGGGGAGGAAGGGAGGGGGGCGGCAAAAGAAGGGGGGACGGAGGGGGGACGACAAAGGGGGAGAGACGGAGGGGGGACGGCGAAGGGGGAGGAAGGGAAGGGGGGCGGCAAAAGGGGGGAGGACGGAGGGGGGCGACAAAGTGGGAGGGACGGAGGGGGGAGGAACGGACGGGGGACGGCAAAGGGGGAGGGACGGATGGGGGTCCACAAAGGGGGGGGACGGAGGGGACGACAAAGGGGAGGAAAAGAGGGGGATGGCGAAGGGGAGGAAGGGAGGGGGGCGGCAAAAGGGGGGGGCGGAGGGGGGACCACAAAGGGGGAGGGACGGAGGGGGGAGGAATGGACGGGGGACGGCAAAGGGGGATGAACGGAGGGAGGACGACAAAGGGGGAGGGACGGATGGGGGACTACAAAGGGGGGGGGACGGAGGGGACGACAAAGGCGCCAGCGCGAAAGGCGCCAGAGCGTGCACGGCGCTTGCGTTAAACGTGCGAACGCGCACGGCGCCAGCGCAAAACGTGCTGGCACGCAAGGCGCCAGCGCGAAACGCAACAGCACGCACGACGCCAGCTCGCACGGCGCCAGTGTGAAACGCGCCAGCGCGCACGGCAACAAAGAGAAAAGCTCCAGCGCGCAAGGCTTCAGCGCGAATTAACTGGCTTAGGTAACAGTTAAACGTAATTAAGAGCAAGAACTAGGCCAAGTGTGTGCGAGGACTAGGTATGTTTCTAACCTACAGGAGCAAGAACAAGGCACGAGGAACGAGGAAGAACAATTGCTGTACCAGCGAGGGACGAGCAAGAACGACGCACTGGTGGAAACTCACCAACAAACCCTAGCAGGGGTGTGTTCGCTCTGTCCATGAAAGCCATTCATTTGTAGGTCGACACCGTTACAAACGTCGAAAGAGCAATCCGAAGCATTATTTTTATATTGAACATTAAAGCGTTTCTAAGTTTATTAAATTACCAATTTTATCATACATCCATTTTCCCAATCAATTAAATTGAGGCATTTCTCATTTTGTTTCTACTAAACAACCCTAATAAAAAGGCGTATGGAAAGATGGCTTTTCAATAAATGCAGGAAAATGTGGATACATACGCAACCCATCCGACGATTTACCTCGAGCCTTGTTATACTGACGCTGGAGATGTCCTACTGTAGCACTCGGTATTCCCGAGGGCGTGGTTTGACGGGGCGTGGTGGGGGACTGATATCCTCGGCATGATTAGCTCGTTTGGCGCCTATGTCTCGCCTTCGTGGAGTGGTTTCAATATTGTGGAACGAACCAACTAAAAGACACTACTCTTTAATCAAACATAACTACATAGGAGCCATGAGCGAGCTGTGAATAGATATTCCAGCCCCTAAAAGCCTAATGCCGCAACATCACTAAAATGGCAAACAAACTCGAGTCAAGCTTGTGTTTCTTTTGCCCTATCTCCTATGCCCTTTATTGCGACTGGTGCGAGCCTTATTTAATTCCCCAAAGTGCTCTAGTAATCTTGGGGGAGGTGAAAACGAGATGTTGTTGAGGGGCACAGTCATGTCTATAGAGAGAAACTCAACCGCCTCATCATAAGCTCTCTGCAAAACCAAGAAGCAACAGGAATATGACATTTTTATGCACATTTGCAGTGAGAAAAATGAACCAGGCCCATAAAGAAAATGACATGGATCAACCAACCTGATCGAATAGATCAAGGAATTTGTCGCGAGCATTGGTGGGGTGGGCGGATTTTCCGATGGAGAAGGCTTCAAACGTGATGGTGCGGTCAACCGCTGCATCACCACTGGAACGTCCTCTGCCAGGTTTTCAAAATGGCCCACAAAGTCAAAGCGAATGTCGTTCAGTCGACAGACGTCCACCTGAAAGAGGCCAGGAGAACGGGTGGATGTGTGTGGGGGGGGGGGAAAGGGAAAAGGGGTGGTTTATGGATGGGAAGGGTGGAACAGCTGCTGCATGAGATGACAGGAGCATCCTCCTCTCTCCCACGCTGTGTTAGGTTTTTGAGAATTCTCAAAAGGATCGTCCTCTCTGCCACCGAAAGCTGTTCAACCTGCCCACATCCACCTGGGGAGACAAATAGGAGGGAGAACAAAATTGAGAAGGTTAAGGGAAAGTCCATGAGCAGGGTTGTTAAAAATGGGGAAGACTCGGGCAGACACTGGCAAGGCTATGCAAATTTACTCAAGGGGACAGCAATCACACTGAGCAAACAATCACAGCTGCAAGGCACCTGAGGGGCACAAAAAATCACCTGAGATGCACCTGAAACCCACAGGGGGGGTTACATGGGGGTCCATGGAGCATCGCCGCCTCTTGAACATGGTTCTCAGCAGCCCCACAAAGGCCCCAAACTGCAGCAGGTCCGACCGTTCTGGTGCACCACCATCCACCGACCTCTCCGCCTTGCATTGCGGATCTCTTGGGGGCGGGGCGCATCACCAGGAAATGCAACCACACTCAGCAGCACAGCGCACCCACGACGAGGAACAGGAGGGTCTTACCTGAGGAGCAGCATGGGGGTCCATGGTGCATCGCCTCCGCCTGAACATGGTCCGCAGCAATCCCACAAAGTCAAGTCCCCAAACTGCAGCAAATCCGACCCGCGCTGGTGCTACACTCACTCAGGCATGCACATGAGGGGAGCAGATGTCTCTCTTACCTGAGGAGCAACATGGGGTTCCATGGTGCGTCACCGCCTCTTGAACATGGTTCTCAGCAGCCCCACAAAGTCGGCAAACTGCAGCAGGTCCGACCCATTCTGCTGCTCTACCAGCCACTGGAACGGCCTTGTGCCATGGAAAAACCGCTTGTTCCAAAACGCCCGCCCCTGCGGGGGGCCCCCGTTCACATGCTTGTTCAGATAAGCCGAGGCGAGGCGTGCGAACGGGTGGCGGACAAAGGTGAACTTGAAGAAGTCCGGGCGGATGAGCAGCGCCATGACGGGGGATTCGGTGTATCCGGACACGAGGACGTGGAGACCGGAGTGCTTGGGGTCGTGTGCGAGGTAGACGTCGGAGATGTTGGGCAGGTTATGCTGCTAGCGGAACCACACCTTCCAGCTCGTGCAGGCGGCCTTGGGGACAAAGCAGTAGATGGTCTTGAGCTCCTCTGAAGGGTGGGAGCAGGGGGTGTGCGGAAGGGGCACTCATGGACAGGTCAGCTGAAAAACTCTTTGGCAGTCATATTTGTTTCGGGCGTGTCCCGCGCGTACGTTTCTCGCTTGAAACCCTACTCCACCATTTTAAGTCGTTATCAGTACCCCCCGCCCCGCACCGCAGAGAATCCCAACCAACTGGAAACAAATGTATGCCCGGGACGTGCCCTCATCATAGCAAGCGCGTTCAGAGAGATAACATCTGCAGTGGAACAGCGAGAGAAGTAGGAATATAGGACTATTGGAAAACTCACCCTCCATGAGGTGCTTTTGAGGCGCCTCAAAATCCGCGTGATTGGAGTCTAGTTTTGAGGCGCCTCAGAACTGCCGCAGGAACCCTCGTGTTTGTGAACAGCGACTCTTCTCAGGCGCTTCACGCCAGCAAGGTAGCAGGGTCGAGGAAACAATGAGCAACGTTCCCTGGCAATAAGGGGCACTCACCATCCACAAGGTACTGCCGCAGGAACCACATATTCTTGAACGGCGCCTGCTCTGGCGCCTCACACACCGACGGACCCACCACAAACGAGGATGCAGGGAAGGGGGAGGTGGTGGGCGCAGCAGTGACCACAAAGGATCCACCATCATCGTTGTCACCCTCGGCTGTAGCAGGAGCAGCAGCATCCGTAGCTCTAGCACCACCAGTAGCAGCAGCTCCTGCGTTCTGATTGGTCCGCGCCCTGGCTTGCGCGTGGATGAGCAGTGCCTCCACGGAGGGCCGCGTGTGGATGAGCCCTCGAGCCGACGACAGCAGGAGAAGCTCCGCCAGCTGCAGCTGATGGCACAGCGTTAGGTCCGGTGCAGTGCTGCTGCTGCTGCTGCTGCTGCTGGTAGCAATGGTGGTTGCACTGCTGGCTTTGGTACCACTGCTACCTCTTCTTCTGCCACTGCTACTGCTGTCAGCAGCGTTAGAATCCTCACTACCTCATGCGAATTTGGAGCCAATCAGTTTGTATGGTTGTCTCAGGCTGGCTTCTTGATACTGGAAAAACGCTTGCACATAGTTTGATTACATGGAGTTGCACTAAACTTAACAATTTAATCATTCCACCCTATTCCTTATGGCTTGTATCAGACCCAACCATGAGTTACTGACATAAAGTGACTATTACCGAGTGATCTTGTAGCTCTGCACACAATGTGAGATGGCACGTAATGAGTACATGCATCAAGCAATTTCTGCATGACATATGAAAGAGGAACATACCTTCACTTGTGCTAGCAGTTTCTTTGCATCGGGGTTTGTCTTGAAGTGGTCTCTCACAGGCTGCACGGCAATGCTTGTCATCAGAAACGAGTAGCAACAAGCAGGCAAAAAGGCCAAGGAGGGAGAAAATAAATGTCTGGTCTGGTGGTGGGCTTACCTGGAGGATCCGGTTCAGTGCTTTGGAGAGGGCCAACTTGAGGTCGCCTGGGTGCAGTTTACCCTCTTTGTAGTCCGCACACAGCTGCTCTGCATCAGTGTAGATGCTGAAAGGGCAGGAAAGCGAGTTGCACGTGGTGAGGTGGAAAGGCAGAGTGGGGAGAGAACAGTGAAGCAAGGGACATGCAGCAGTGTGGCAGGCGGTGACGAGAGATTTGGGCAAAGGACAGCAGGGACCGGAATCTGGGCCAGGGCAGTGACAGATTGTGAGCAAAGCAAAGCAAAGCCCAATGTACTCACGTGTTGCCTCCGTGCTCCTCCTTGCGCTCCACCTCAAACTGCTTGAACCAGGGCAGCACGATGTACTGCACGTAGGCAATGCACGGGTTCCCCTCCACCTCCCCTGGCGGACAGAAAGCCTTCTTGATCTTCACATTCACCTCCGCCTGACCAGAAAATATAAAGGACACAAGCCTTTTAGGCACTTATTGCAGTGGATAGTGGCTGTGGTGACATCGGCCTCCTAAAAAATTCATCAGGTAAATATTTTCCCGATGCAATAATGGCTTACCTCCTCGTCCTCCATGAAAATTGCAGAGTTTGGGTCACTCTTTGACATCTTCTCCTGCCCTTGCAGCAACCCGGGCAGCATGTCTGCGTACACACCAAACGCATTCAAACAGTGAGTGCACAAAAGAGTCATGGAAGTATGGCAGCAGCAAACGGACAACAAACAGGATGTAACACTGCCAGGAACTAACAGACAGCCTTTTACAGCACCGGAGAATGATAATGGGAGAGCTCAACCTGCACTGCTTACGGTGCGAGAGGATGATGGGCTTCATCTTCCTCTTGATGTCGTCGCAGTACTCCCTGGCCAACACGTTCACCTTGCGCTGATCCATGCCCAGCTGGCAGATGTCCGCCTGCCATGCGCACATGCAAGGACGAAACCAATCACTCACGATACCGCATGGACCAGTTGGTAGGGAATTCGAGCCAACGAGCTTGGCTTGCCTGGCATGGCAAGTGCATGGCAAAGGTCAACGGAATATTCACAGTTCACTGTTCTGAAAGAGATTTTCAGGCAGCAGACCTTGAGGAAGAAGATGTCGGCGCACTGCATGCACGGGTAGAAGATCTGAGCTGCCGACAGCTCGTCAGTCTCGTTGCGCCCCATGATCTGCGAGCACCTGCGGTACTCCAGGGGGGGAGTCCGGGTGAGGGAGGGGAGGGGAGAGATAAGGGGGAAAGGGAGAGGGGGCACGAAGGGGACATAGGTGTGCAGGAACAGAGGCCTGGATGGGGAAGAGGCATAGGGGAAGGCAGGCATGGCAGCTTGCTCGTCTTGGCAATACCCATAATCACTGGCCAGCAATCGCCTGCCTGGTCGTCTGCCTACCAAACCATCCCCTCTGCTTCCCCTCTCCCCAGCCCGCCTTCCTCCGCCTCCCCACCACCTGAGGTTCCTGGGGAGCTTGTTCTTCCTGGCGATATCCATCCATGGCCAGCGGCCAGTACTCCCCAGCACATCCACCCGCCTAGGCACGCTCCGCCTTCTTTCCCTCTCCTCAGTCCGCTCCCTCTTCCTAATCCCCCTCTCTCCCCACCTGAGGATCCTGGGAAGCTTGTTCTTCCGGGCGATGTCCATCACGAGAGGCCAGTACTCCCCGGCCCGCCCGTTGATCTCTTCAGACGACCAGAGGAACTCCACGCGCGTGAGGTCCATACCCACTGCGCGCCACACCTCCATCATGTAGCGACCAACGGTCTGGATCTTCTTGAGATCGCCGCCCATCTTGTTGTTCAGCTGCGCGAACCAGTCAGCCACCCAGAACTTGAAGATGCAGCCAGATCGGGTGAGCTTGTTGACATTGAGCGCCTTCATCACTCCCTGAATAGGGGAGGCACGGCGCGGGAGGGGAGAGAGGGGGGGAGGGGGGAGGGGGGGGGGGGAAGAAGCGGGGGGAGGTTGATTTGCCTGTCTCTCATCACTCCCTGAAGAGGGGAGTCAAGGGAGGGAGGTGGGGGGGTTCGGGGGGGTTGTTTCGCCTGTCGTTCAGCTGTGCGACCCAGTCGGCCTCCCAGAAGCTGAAGGTGCACCCGCGGATTCCGTCAGCTTGTTGACGTTCAGCGCTTGTTGACGTTCAGCGCTTGTTGACGTTCAGCGCTTTCATCAGTCCCTGAAGGGAGGAGCGGGGGAGATGGGAGGAGGGGGACGGGGGCGGAGGGTGTGGGGGGGAGGGAAACGGGGAGGTGAAGGAGGAGGGCGTGTTGTGAGGGAGGAGATAGGGATTATGGTGGGTGTGACTCACTGTGCGACGTGCGACTCACTTGAGCGATTTGCGACTCACTTGAGCGATGTGCATGCGACCGGAGGGTTCGAAGCCATCGTACGCGACGGGGTCTTTCTTCTTGAGCAGCAGGTTCCGCAGCTCGTCCTCCTGAATGCACTCCTCGCCCACGCTCCGCACCAGCGCGTACCGCTCGTCCAATGTCATTCTGCCACGTGGGCATTCCAAAGAAACAGGCAGCATCAGCAATAACGACCCCCCCCCCCCCCCCCCCCCCTCCCCCTCAACCCTGAACCCTCCTCCTTGCTACGGTTTCCTGCTTTGATCACGACAACCGAACCCGAATGTCTCGAAGCGAAAACGACGAAGACGAGGAAGAGGACGGTAGAGCATATCTGGGGCCGGCGGGCGATCGCTCTGAGGACTGAAGCAAAAGCGCTGAAAGCGCAAGGGCCTGGGAAAGGACCAGCGGGGAGCAGGGGTAGAGCATGTCTGATCGCACCCATTGAACGACCCGGCGAGCTGATCCACGTCAGCAGCGGGAGCGGGAGCGGAGGATTCTGGCGCCGCTTGCGCGGCTGCCGCGGCCGCGTCGGACCCTTCCGCGGACATTGCGGGCTGGCGGGAATCCGCAGAAATTCGTTAGAAGAGGAAGTAGGGAAAGCAGCTGGAAACTAGGGCCTCGTGAGTGGTTTTTATTTTGAGGCTGGAGAAGTCCTGCTGTAGCATTCGGTATTCCCGAGGGCGTGGTTTGACGGGTCGAGGTGGGGGACTGATATCCTCGGCATGATTAGCTCGTTTGGCGCGTATGTCACGCCTTCGTGGGGTGGTTTCAATATTGTGGAACGAACCAACTAAAAGACACTAATCTTTAATCAAACATAACTACCTAGGAGCCATGAGCCAGCTGTGAATAGATATTCCAGCCCCTAAAAGCCTAATGCCGCAACATCACTAAAATGGCAAACTAACTCGATTCAAGCTTGCGTTTCTCATGGCCTATTTATGCCCTTAATTGCGATCGGTGCGAGCCTTATTTAATTCCCCAAAGAGCTCTAGTAATCTTGGGGGAGGTGAAAACGAGATGTTGTTGAGTGGCACATTCATGTCTATGGAGAGAAACTCAACCGCCTCGTCATATGCTCTCTGCAAGCCACGAAGCAAGGGGGAAAAATGTCATTTTCATGCATGTTTGTAGTGAGAAGTATGAACCACAAACCCATACAGAAACATGGCATGGACCAACCAACCTGATCGAATAAATCGAGGAATTTATCACGGGCATTGGTGGGGTGGGCAGATTTCCCGATGGAGAAGGCTTCAGACGTGATGGTGCGGTTCAACCGCTGCATCACCACCGGAAAGTCCTCTGCCAAGTTCTCAAAGTGACCCACAAAGTCAAAGCGGATGTCGTTGAGCCGGCACACGTCCATCTGGAGAGAAAAACGGGAGGGAGAATGTGATGGAGGGGTTAAGAGGAAGCTCTTGGCAGCTTTTACATTAGCGATGAAGTCAGGCATACGTGCAAGGCTATATTAGTCACCTGAGGGGCACAAGAATGAGACCTAATAGACGCCTGAAATGCACCTGAAACCCACCTGGGGGGCGACATGAGGGTCCATGGTGCATCGCCTTGTTTTTAAACCATGGTTCTCAGCAGCCCCCCACGTGCCCCAAACTGCAGTATGTCCGACCCCTCGTGGTGCTCCACCAGACACCGTCTCTCCGTATTTGCGTTATGGGACCTTTTGAGGCGCCCCATCAAGAAAAGAAATCACACCCTCAACAAGACACCCGGGGGGGACAGAGGGTCTCACCCGAGGAGCAGCATGGACGCCCATGGTGCGCCGTCTCCGCCTGAACATGGTCCGCAGCAACCCCACAAAGTCAATTCCCCAAACTGCAGCAAATCCGACCCGCGCTGGTGCTGCATTCACTCAGGCATGCACATGAGGGGAGCAGATGTCTCTCTTACCTGAGAAGCAACATAGGGGTCCATGGTGCGTCACCGCCTCTTGAACATGGTTCTTAGCAGCCCCACAAAGTCGGCAAACTGCAGCGAATCCGACCTATTCTGGTGCTCCACCAGCCATTGGAACGGCCTCGTGCCGTGGAAAAACCGCTTGTTCCAAAACGCCCGCCCCTGCGGGGGGCCCCCGTTCATGTGCTTGTTCAGATGAGCCGAGGCGAGGCGTGCAAACGGGTGGCGGACAAAGGTGAACTTGAAGAAGTCCGGGCGGGTGAGCAGCGCCATGACGCGGGATTCGGTGTATCCGGACACGAGGACGTGGAGACCGGAGTGCTTGGGGTCGTGTGCGAGGTAGACGTCGGAGATGTTGGGCAAGTTATGCCGCTGGCGGAACCACACCTTCCAGCTCGTGCAGGCAGCCTTGGGGACAAAACAGTAGATGGTCTTGAGCTCCTCTGAAGGGTGGGAGCAGGGGGTGTGCGAAAGGGGCACTCAGGGACAGGTCAGCTGAAAAACTCTTTGGCAGTCATATTTGTTTCGGGCGTGTCCCGCGCGTACGTTTCTCGCTTGAAACCCTACTCCACCATTTTAAATCGTTATCAGTACATTCCGCCCCGCACCGCAGAGAATCCCACCCAACTGGAATCAAATGTATGCCCGGGACTTGCCCTCATAATAGCAAGCGCGTTCAGCGAGAGAACACCTGCAGTGGAACAGCGAGAGAAGTAGTACTATTGGACTGTTGGAAAACTCACCCTCCATGAGGTACTGCTGCAGGAACCACATGTTTGTGAACGGCGGCTCTTCTCAGGTGCTTCACGCTAGCAAGGTAGCAGGGTCGAGGAAACAATGAGCAATGTTCCCTGGCAATAAGGGGCACTCACCATCCACGAGGTACTGCCGCAGAAACCACATGTTCTTGAACGGCGCCTGCTCTGGCGCCTCCAATGAGGATGCAGGGAAGGGGGAGGTGGTGGGTGCAGCAGTGACCACAAAGGGTCCGCCATCATCGTGGTCACCCTCGGCTCTAGCAAGAGCTGCAGCATCAGTAGCAGTAGCACCACCAGCAGCGCTAGCAGCAGCAGCTCTTGCATTCTTATTGGTCCGCGCCCTGGCTTGTGCGTGGATGAACAGTGCCTCCATCGAGGGCCGTGTGTGGATGAGCCCTTGAGAGGTGGACAGCAGGAGAAGCTCTGCCAGCTGCAGCTGATGGCACAGCGTTAGGTCCAGTGCAGTGCTGCTGCTGCTGCTGGTAGCAATGGTGGTGGCACTGCTGGCTGTGGTACCACTGCTACCTCTTCTTCTGCCGCTGCTACTGCTGTCAGGGCGTTGGCATCCTCACTCACCCCCTCTTCACCCTCTACCCCTCTGCCTCCACTGCCTTGTTCCGCATCTCCGTCCGATGCATCATCCCCCTCCCATTCTCCTCCTCCCCCCTCTCCTCCCCCTCCCCTTGCACCTCTGCCTCATCCCCACTCTCTCCGTCTCTCCCACTCTCCTCCTCTCCCCCTCCCTCCATATCCCCTCCTTCCTCCAGCACCCATCGTCTTCGCGTCCCCTTCGCCGGATTCCCCACTCCCTCGCTCTCGCTCTGCTCCTCCCTGCTGCTGCCAGGCTCCTGTGTCTCGCCCTCGGGGCACTAGTTGCTCCCCCACAGAAGATCCTGCCTCACTGCTGCTTTGATGTGAAGAGCCAGAGGGAGAGGAGGAGGCAGAGAGAGGGGGAGCAGAGCGAGAGGGGGAGGAGGGGAGGGAGGGAGTAGCAGGGCAGCCAATGCTGATGCGCTTGATGGTGTGGGGGAGGAGGAGGGGGGCGCGCAGGGGGTGAAAGGTGCCAGCGACTGTAGCAGCGTCTGTAGCAGAGGCGGCTGCTACAGTGAAGTTCACGTCAGCAGAGTTGGAAGACACTCGCAGGTAGCGCCACGTCATCGTGCGAAGGGTGCAGTTCAGCAGAGGGTCCTCGGGGCACCCTCCACACGTGCCAGATGGCATCGCCTGATTTGCCTGTTAAAAAATCATGTGACAAATGAGAAGGGGATTTTGCTGAAGGTAACAAAAAGCAAGAGAATAGAAATCATGTAGATTTCCAGTCTTAAAACATTACCAACACAACATCTTCTGCAGGAGTTTCCTCACCTCAAGGTACACTGCTGTACTCGATTTAATTTGTGGAATCTTTATGTGTGTCGCTCACTGTATCATTCAATTTGTGGAATCTTTCTCATTTCAGGTCTTGTTGAAGCTCAAGCACAACCCCCCTCCAGCATTCGCACCCGCTGCCGGTACTGCTGCTGCTCCTGCAGCTGCTTCTTCCAAGCCCAGTTCCACATCGTCGAAGTCAGCCAAGGCAGCTGCCAAGTAGACTCCCCGGCTGTCAAATGACTCTGCCCCATTGTGGATTATACCTCATGCGAATTTGCGGCCAATCAGTTTGTATGGTTGTCTCAGGCTGGCTTCTTGATACTGGAAAAACGCTTGCACACACTTTGATTACATGGAGTTGCACAAAACTTCAACAACTTAATCATTCGAGCCTATTCCTTATGGCTTGTATCAGACCCAACCATGAGTTAAGGAAATGGAGTGACTATTACCGAGTGATCTTGTAGCTCTGCACACAATGTGAGATGGCAAGTAATGAGTACATGCATCAAACAATTTCTGCAAGACATATGAAAGAGGAACATACCTTCACTTGTGCTAGCAGTTTCTTCGCATTGGGGTTTGTCTTGAAGTGGTCTCTCACGGGCTGCACGGCAATGCTTGTCATCAGGTCGCCTAGGTGCAGTTTACCCTCTTGTAGTCCGCACACAGCTGCTCCGCACCAGTGTAGATGCTGAAAGGGCAGGAAAGCGAGTTGCACGTGGTGAGGTGGAAAGGCAGAGTGGGGAGAGAGCAGTGAAGCAAGGGACATGCAGCAGTGTGGCAGGCGGTGACGAGAGATTTGGGCAAAGGACAGCAGGGACCGGAATCTGGGCCAGGGCAGTGACAGATTGTGAGCAAAGCAAAGCAAAGCCCAATGTACTCACGTGTTGCCTCCGTGCTCCTCCTTGCGCTCCACCGCAAACTGCTTGAACCAGGGCAGCACGATGTACTGCACGTATGCAATGCACGGGTTCCCCTCCACCTCCCCTGGCGGACAGAAGGCCTTCTTGATCTTCACATTCACCTCCACCTGACCAGAGAAGATGGAGGACACAAGCTTTTTAGGCACTTATTGCAGTGGATAGTGGCTGTGGTGACATCGGCCTCCTAAAAAATTCATCAGGTAAATCTTTTCCCGATGGCAATAATGGCTTACCTCCTCGTCCTCCATGAAAATTGCAGAGTTTGGGTCACTCTTAGACATTTTCTCCTGCCCTTGCAACAACCCGGGCAGCATGTCTGCATACTCAACAAAAACAGTGAGTGCACAAAGAGTCGTGGAAGCAGCAGCAGCAAGCATACAACCAACAGCATGTAACACTGCCAGGAATAACAAGCAGCCTCGTATTGCCAGTTTTGCAGCAAAGGAAAAAGTGAGCTTAACCAGCACTTCTTACGGTGGGAGAGGATGATGGGCTTCATCTTCCTCTTGATGTCGTCGCAGTACTCTCTAACCGACACATGCACCTTGCGTTGATTTGATGACTTGTGAGTCGACCCAACAGACAGCCATGCATCTTACGGTGAGAAAGGATGATGGGCTTCATCTTCCTCTTGATGTCGTCACAGTACTCCCTTGCCAGCACGTTCA